CCTGTTGGAGCTAGATTAGTCACCGGATTCGGCGTCACCGACCCACTAAAAACCCGAGTAAAATATAATTTATAAAAGATAAAAAGAACTGGGCCGCAAGCCCAGTTCCAGAAAAAGGATAAGATCCGAGATTAAGCCCAAATCAGCCATGTGAGTGCTGAATCAACGGAAGTAGAGTTAACGAGCTAAAAACGAGTCAACAGGAAAGTTAGAACAACCGCATGAGCGAGATTCGCGGAGAATATGCCAAGAACATACCCTAGATACGCGGAACCATCCCTAGATACGTGGAGTTGGATCGATGAGCTGATTTGAGCTATAAATACATGGAGTCCGAGCAGATTTTGCCAATCTTTTCACGGATACAAGAGTTTAAAACTACATTTTAGCTTGTAATACGTCTCACTCGAGATCTCATTGTATATTCGATTCATATCAATATAAATCTAGCTCCGCTTTACTTTTTTTTTTCCGTCGGATTTATAGATATTTCTTATGACCAAAGTTTATTCTCCGAATTCACATACAAATTATTAGTGCGAAACTAAGTTTCCATATTTGGCGCCATCTAAGAGAAAGAAATAGATACGTCTAACACAGAAATCCGATCTAAGATCTGCTAGAGTGGAGATGGATAAATCAACATCCAGCATTTCCAAAGCTAACAACACACCGGTCGTAACTCCCCAAAGCCAAAAATCGTCTGGATCCCAAGTGCTTGACCAGATCAGAACCAATTTCCTCATTTTCAACCATTTCCTAAACTCCCAATATGTTCTAATTCATAAATTTGGAAAGTGATTGCCTCTGGTGTGATTTCCATATGGGTGTTTAGGAAATGGTTGGAAATGAGTAATTCAGCAATCTTATTCGGAAATGAAACATATTATCCAAAGTCTTCATGAATTGGTAAAGAGTTAGAACAAGAAATATGGATAACAGGACGGATTTATGGAAGGGCCATTTCTAATCGGATGATTTTGAAACAAAAAAATTAAAAAGTTAGAAACTTTTAAGCATATTTTCATTTAAAAATAAAGCTCTCAAATGGGTAATTCATGTTATATGTTCAATATTTTTTGTTTTTACGTATCCATTTGAATAAAATAAATTCATCGGGGGGAAAAAAAGGAAAAGGCAGTGAATTTGTGACTGAGTGCAGATGCCTAATTCTCTACCATAAGATCTTATCCTCCTGACTAGCCAAATTAAGTAGTTTTCAAAACCAGGAAAGGAAAAAGAAAACACACGTTACATTCATACAATATCATACACTGATTGATAAAAAAAAAAAAAAAAGTCATAATACCACCGAGCTTCGTTTGTTTTGAACATAAAAGTGTTACATGAATTATTATTACAACATTCTTGAAAACACACATAAAGGAGAAGACCTAGTTTGTTTGCTATGAACGAGTCTTGTCCAAATCTTCGAGGCTCGTTGGACGGAACCATGCTTTCTCCTTCATCATCGAGTCCTCCTGACCACCGCGATTCTTGTCCGTTGTGTCGGTAGATGAGGAGGAAGGTCCAAAGACACCGGTTTGAGGATGAGGAGACCAATATTTGTCAGAGTCAGGCTTTATCAATTCATCAGGCACTTTGTTCGATTGCAATTCTTCCTCTACGTTCTTATCATACGTCGATGTGTGACCATTCCTAATAGCAATACCTCTAGACGAGAAAACATTGTTTTTAGCGATAATATCAAAGTTTTTAAAGATAAAAAATATAGAAAGTGAGTTCCGTTTGTTCGTTAGGTGAGACATTGACTATAGTATATAACCTCATGCATAGAAAAAATGATTAGATAACCCCACCAAACAATTAAATAGACTTAAAATATTGATACTCATCCAAACACAAGTATTTATTTATCTTCAAATCCAAAATATAAAACTACTTTCAGAAAACATTTCACCTTTTATAAATGTGTTTAGCTCAAATCCCATT